TTTTTTTTTTTTTTTTTTTTTTTTTTTTTTTTTTTGTTTTTTTTTAACATTAGTGTGTTTAACTGATCGAATGTAACACTTACCTTTCTCTTTGACAGTGGTGATCGACCGGCGCGAAGACAAGTACGCCGACACAGGGATGTTCGAGCTGGCGTTCAAGCAACAGACCTCGCCGACGCAGCCGTACATGGGCCAGAACCTGACCGTGCGCGGCGTCAAGATCCAGGACAGCCCGAAGGCCAAGCGGAAGAAGAGGGCGCCGCCCCCACCGATCAACTGCCGCCCGCTACCCTCGCCACGGGTCATCGACTTCCTGGACGATCTCAAGACCCACCTCAAGGAGTCGCCGGCCAACTCCGCAGCCGCCACCGTCGACAGCGACGCCTCCAGCGAGGACGATCTCGACATCGTCTGCATCACGCCCCGGGCGGCGCCGGAGGTCAAGAGTCCGCCGATCAGGGTGGGGGTTCAGGTTCCCGAGGTCAGGAAGGAGCCTGAGGAACGGCCGATGTCTGAAGCCGACAAGAAGGACAGCAAGGATAATGGCAATAGTGGGGCCACTACCATCACAGAGGTTAAAGTGACGATCTCGCCAGAGACGGAAGGTAAGCACGAACAATACTGCCGTGCTAAGGAAGAACGCCGTATGAGCCTTCAGACGTTGCCAAGTTTCCTCCGATAAAAACCGAATTCACTGGGGAAATTGTGAATATTATCTTCCAAAATTTTCAGACGGTCTTTTACGGAATTTAATCTGAAATATCTGAAATTTTCAAGGAAAAATATGCATTAGTTTTGCCTAAGTACATACGTTTTATCAAGGGAAATTTGGCAACTCTCGAATTTTCATACGACGTTCTTCCTTAGCATAACAGAATAGAGTACAAAAATGCTACGCAAAGGAAAAACGCCGCGCATGAATCTGCACGCATGGTCAAATTTCCTTCGATAAAACACGGACTCCCGGGTAAACTTAAGAATATTTTTATTCCAATTTTTCAGGTAATTTCGTTCGCAATTTCACCTAAAGTACCTGAAAATTTCAAGGAAAAACATGTATAGCTTCTCTCAAAAATGAGGATTTATTCGAAGGAAATTTGGCAACTCTCAGATGCTTACATGGCGTGCGTCCATAGCGCGATAGAACAGAATCGCGATGTACTGGAGTGCCGATGGAGTTTTTTAGCCTCTCGTTCACTGAAAGTGTGAACCGAGTCACGAATGTGAACGAAATGACTCAGTTTTTAACACGGCGACTTATGGGAGAATCGAGGACTGCGAGTGGTTTTCGGCCAGTGGCGTGGCGTGAATTGCGATGTATCGATTGTTCTGCCATTTAAACCTATGGTAAAGAGTCGATTATTAAGGTGTTCGCTGCAAACACCCTGTTTATCGATCCTTTTCCATAGGTTTAAATGGCATAACAATCGATATATCGCAAAGCACGCCGCGCCACTGTTTTCGGCATTTATTAAGTTCAATCGATAATTATTTTCGCGAATCTTGGCAAATCATGTTGACCAAAATCATAAAAAATTATACGAAATTCCCGGTTTTTATGAGATACATTTTAGACCTATATTTTCTAAGCGAAGCCCGGAGCTCGGAGCCCGCGCACACGGCATCGCGAGTCGCCGCATATTAGTCTCAAGACTCGGGAGTATACTGCTTTTTTTTCGATCCGCTGGTGATTTGACTGTCCACAGCAATAAGTGCCCGAGTGCTTAAATTCTTACTTTGTTTAATGGTCAATTCAATCTAAAAAAAGCGGATGTACAGAACTTCCCTAACTTTTTTCAGAGAAAATATTTTCCCGGGAGAAACGAGGCAACGTTGGAAAGCTCATACGACGTCGAAACACAACATGGACCTTTTAGGCTCCATTGTTCGATGCCGCGATTATCCTAACGCAAGTTCGAATAATCGTTCCAAACACGGTGCGGTCGGCGTCGAACTCATATCAGCGCCTGCAAGACTGCAGGAATACTTCATGCGTCGCGCCCAACAGTGCGGTCGGCGTCACACGCATGTTAGCGCCTACAAGACTACTGAATACTTCTCACATTGCACCACATGCAATGCGAGAGTTATTAGCGATAGAGGTGTCGTCAGCTAAGTTGACGGGTGTTTACTTTCGGTTTGCAGGCGTTTTCGCGTCACTACTATCCACATAAAAATATCAGACTCTCGCAGAAGTAAGAACACAAGCTTCGATAAGTTTTTTAATACTTTCAAACCTTGTAACACTTTAATTTGTAGCCTCACAAAAATCACAATCACATAAAAGTCGCGACTTATAGCTGATAAGTAGTTTTTTTACGACACGATCATGAGATGGATGATTTCAAGGTGGATAGTAGCGAACGCCGCTTTGTGAAGAGGCCCAAATTCATCGTTGGCGCTTCGACTATTCGACTACGGGTCGATGCCGCTATAGCTGGATTGAAGGCGCATCACACTCTGAAGATGACTCGACACTCGACCGCACCCTTCCCGCGAGTCGCCACATATTCGTCTCAGGACTCGGGAGCATTGGACGAAAAGCCTCAAAAAGTCACTTCAGTGGCGCTCTGGTACGTTGCAAATCTCATATGGATTACATTTTGCCATGAGGAACCACTATTTCTGGCCCATTTTAGAAACAACTTACGTGCCATTGGTTTCCCCATGCAGATATGTCCTTTCATGGGAGAGCCAGAAATGGTGGCTCCTTATTGCAAAATTTAATCTTTAGGTGCTCAATAGAAAGAACGCAGACAATTTTCTGTAGGATTTCATTTCAATTTTTGATGCCGGTTCTCCCAGAATTGAGTTACTGTTAGTTACTTGAGTTATGAGTTACTATACTGAGTAGTTTGCTCTTGAAATCCTTGTAATTCCAATGTGTTGAAGTGCGTTCCCCTATTCTGAGAAACCGCTGAGCAATCGTGTTTCGTAAATTCGCTTTTCATCATCGCTTTTAATATTACATAAAAAATCTGCATACGCACTTGAGCGGCGCAGCATCTGCCGGAGACAAGCTTCTCTGTTTGTGCTTGAAATTGCTGGCAAACTTGACTTGAATTAAGGTCATCAGTAATTTGTTGACAATATGACAATACCAGATGAAAACGCAAGAGGCCACCGAGAATAACCGCAAAACTAATTATTTTTTTGCACTTCCACAGGCTATATAAAATTTCATTGTCGGTTGAATAAAACGCAAAATGAGCCTGTTGCACGCAAAGCATCCACGCCTCGCCACTGCAATAGTTGTAAGAAAAACTGCCCGCGAACGCGAGAAATTTTCTAAAGCGTGTGACAAACTAGGTACGCATTTGCGCACTGAAGAGTGGACAGAGGCGGATCCAGAAATTTGGCAACACCGGGATGCCTCCATTTAAACCCATGCTAAATAATCGATTCTTGTCGGAGCACCTGGTCCCTCTAAGAATCGATACATTTCCATAGGTTTAAATGGAAAAAAGACAATGTTGCCACTTTGTTAGATCCGCCAATGAGAGTGGAATTCAGAATATTTCGATTTGTAAACCGTGATTTTCATGAGAACGTACCTAGGAAGACTAGTCACTAGGCTGTACCTCCTGCAAGAAACCTAACTGCCACTGTGGTGCTGGTAACTATTACCCCCTCAGAAAACATGCTCAAAATTACAGGTTTCATGCGAAAAGGAGTTCCTTGATTTTACAACTTCCAAATCAACATGCGAAGTCAAGTTGATGAATTGATGCGTGATGAACAACTCCCATTCAATGAAGCTTGAAATTTTGTTGCGTATATAATCAGTCAACGGATTCTGGAGAAAACTCATTTTACTAAGACCTCCTACTGTCGTCACGGAGCTACATCCCGGTTCATTAATGGATTACATGGAAGTTTCTAAAAAAAAATTCCTCGAAATGGAAACACTTTTGGGAGCAAAAAATTCGACATTTCCTCATGCTTTTAGCGTAAATGTAGGTGTTGATTTCGCCTTTGTGTTCAATTATAATCACGGATGAGTCAGATTTTTTGCGGAAATTTGTGTTACTTGCAGCCTGATTGTTGAAATTTTTTGTTCGTCGGGACGAGCGATAAGACATAGCCGACCCATTACGCTCCGCCTTTTAACCTATGTCACCTATGTCGTCCCGACAAACAAAACATTTCAACAATCAGTCTGCAGAGAGTACTACCTTTAAACGCGATGCCAGATCGTACACAGTGAAATTTTGTTCCTCTTTGTCTTCGTGTAATTACATCGCTCAGAAATGAAAACAGAATTATTTTTAGCATATTTTTATCGCACTCCGCTAAAAACCACATTATGACATATTTTTCGATCTGAACGTGCGTCAAAAGGTAAAAACGTTCTGATGGAGTAACCGCGATCTTTGTAAAAAATGATAATGATGATTTTCTTACCAATTGGTTAATCAGAAATATCAAGAAAGTACACTACATTTAAGCTGAGGATATTAAAATTAAAATGAATGCACCTTTTGTTTACTCTTAGCATTCTCATTTTGAGGGAACAACTGGAAAATTTTGGGTTCAATCCACTAGTGGACATTGAGGCAGAGCAGAGGCTATTCTTGAAAGTTGGCAACACTGTTTTCCTCCATTTAAATGTATGTAAAACAATCGATTTTTGATGAGGCAGCTTGCCTCGCACAGGATCGATATTTTTTGGATTTCAATGGGGGAAAACCAGTGTTGCCAACTCGCAAAATCGCCACTACCGTGACGTGGGCTCACGACGACGATAGGAGGTCTCATTAAAATTGAGTTGCGTTGCGAAATTTCAGACTTGTCTTTAAGGTCATGATATGCCTAATCGTAAAATTTAAATAAAACATACAAACTACTTATGTAAACAAATGTTCAAAATGGTTTTTATACAGGGTGGCCCAGACCTACCGTACCAGGCCTTTTTTCGGTTAATTTGGGCCATACGAAGTCCAGGATCGCGGGGATGTATAGGGAATCGACCCCAAGGAATCCGAATTTAAGGGTCCCAATGTCCACAGAGACTTTTCTGATGGGGCACAGGGGTAACCTTCACACCGGTTAAATTTGAAAGTTCAGAGTCCCCCTGTGCCCCATCAGAAAAGTCTCTGTGGACAACGGAACCCTCAAATTCGGATTCCTTGGGGTCGATTACCCCTGAACACACATTTTTTCCGAGTCTCTACGTCAATTTAACGAACTTGAATTTTTTTGAAAGGGGGCTCTGTCCCCCACCTTTAGGGGTCGGTATTTTGGACACGGGTGGGCCGATTTTGGATTTCTTGGTGTCAATTTCAGCTAAAATTTTCCGTACGTTCTGATTCCGATGAAATAATTTCAAAATTTTGACATTAGCCCTAACTTTTGAAGTACGGACCCCCCCCCCTTTACCCCCCAAGGGGCGCCAGGGGGGCTCTGGGACCATGAAATTCGGATTCCTTGGGGTCGATTCCCTATTCATCCCCGCGATCCTTGACTTCGTATGGCCCAAATTAACCGAAAAAAAGGCCTGGTACGGTAGGTCTGGGCCACCCTGTATAATGTTTACACAAAAATAGTATAATTTTATCACATAAAAAATGTATGAGGAACCCAGTGGCGCGGGGTGCTTTGCGATACATCGATTGATCCGCCGTTTAAACCTATAGGAAAGGATTGATGAACTGGATGTTCGCAACGAATACCTTCATAATCGATTCTTCACCATGGCCTCAAAAGGGGGAATATCGATCATCAATCGTTCACGCCTAGCTACTGAAGAAAACCTCTGCTACTGGAGAAGTTGGTGAGAATGGATCGTATTCGATAGCGGTTCGATGTATCGTTTGATTCAAAACAATTAGAACGTAACCTCAAAGAAAAATTTTAGGAATTAAATTGGAAAAGCTGAAAATGAGAAAATTCCTAACAATTCCACACTTCATTGCCATTTTGTACTCATAAGTATCAAAAATCCATCGCAAAAAACCCGTTCTCTAGGATTACTCAATTGACTTTTGAGGCTATAAGTTTACATGTTGAACGGACCCGGTTGGTCCGACCGATATAGATACAATCTCACCTATTGAATGTATCGAATACGATGTTTTACTCGTGCTGGCAAGTAGAGATTTGGATCTGTGGCGAGGCGTGAATAATCAATTATCGATAATTCCCCATTTGAAAATATGGTAAGGAGTCGATTTTTACGATGTCCGTTGCGAAAACTCTGTTTATCGATCCTTTTCCATTGGTTTAAGTGGCAGATCAATCGATACATCGCAAAGAATGCCACGCCCCTGACTAGGATTTACAGTGCTTGAATAATGTACAGATCACTGAAAAAAAATTCTCGGCGTTTTTACCAAGGTCCGTTGGTACCTTTACCATCTCACTTTTTTTTACCAATTATTGGTAATTTTACCAAGACAAACTGGTAAGCTTACCTAAAAACCGGTATTTTTAATGTTTTTTTCAGGTAAGAATACCACTTTTATTGTTAATCAATTCCCGGTAACTTTGCCATTTTATCTCGGTAACTATACCACAGTCGATAAAAAATGTTGGCGTTTTTACCAAGGTCCAGTAAAATTACCGAGAAAGTTCAATAATTTTACCTAGATTTCTTGGTAAAATTACCAATTCCATAAATGGTAATTTTACCAAGAAAAAACGGGGATCAAATAGAACCCTGAATTCTTGGTAATTTTACCCTTTTCTTAGTAAATACACCGAGATTTTTTTTTCAGTGCGAGGGCCGATCGCTTTGTGTTTGATAGTGTTATTCCATCTGTTTTATTTTTTTTATTTTTTATTTTTTTTTTTAAGATGTCATCCGGAACGAAAATGAGGTCGAAGAAAGTGTGGAGTCGCTGACGGAGTCAACAGGAGTCTCGCCTCGCTCGCCGCGTTCGCCACGAAACAAGAACAAAGTCTGGAACAGCAAGGACATCGCCGACCAGATCGAGATGCTCTCAAAGTGGAAGCAGAAGATGCGGGAAACCCGTGTCAATTGCGAAGAGGTCAGTTTCCTCCCTTAATTTTTACTAAAAACCAATTCCTATCAAACATTCCTGGCCACTATTTGAAGGGCTTGGAGGACAAGGCGCATAAGTGCAGTTTCTGAAAAAATTGAGGAAGTAACGATTTCGGAAGTAACGGATCTATATCAAGATTTTTCTTTGTTATAGTTAGTTCATCGATTTTTGGTAGTTTAATAGGGCTAAATAATAGGACTATTCAAAAAATAATGGGCTATAGTTGTATGGTTACTATCTGTTGATTTATTTATAGTATAAGAATTAGGTTATTATTAGGTTCAAGGAAAACTAGTTTTAATGAATATTCTGTGAAAAATTTGCTCCCTAATTCCAATTTTTCAGCATCAAAAAGTCAGTATTGACTTTTTTCGGCCATAAGGATCAATATAATTTCGAAACTTCAAACACGTATTTCTTGAAATGGCAAAAACTGCACTTATGCGCCTTGTCCTCCAAGCCCCTGATTTGAGGTTATCTGGTTAAAGCTGCGGAGAATACACGGAATCATAGAGGATGGACTTAATATAACTGACTTTTTTGCTTGAGAAAGCGAATTTGTTCTGGGTATGACATTTTTAGTTGAATTCTTTGCAAAGTTTGATCGAATGAAACAAATTGGCACGACAGAATACCGTTTTAAAATAGGATAAAAATTATTTAATGTATGCCAGTACAGAGAATATTTCCGTCCGCAGATTTATTTAGCTGTTGCCAGATGGTGCTGAAAAATCAGATTTCTTCATTTTAACCCATGTACAATATCTCTTTTTTATTGTACACTCTGGCAACCTTACCGTGGAATTGTAAAAACACGAAAGTGATCTGGTCGACACTGGAATGAGGGACATTGCCATAATCCAAGGCGCTAATGAAATGGATCACTGAAAATGACGAAAAAATTCACTTTCTTCGTCATGATTGAACACGAGACAGGGGAGAATTAAGTACAATAAGGCATGTTTGGTTATTAAATTTCACGCAAAACACGTTAAATACCGTATCAACTCCTAAAATCAAGATTTAAGAGCAAAATTTACATTTATAGTTTGCATTCGTATCGATAGATTTAAATTGTCCGCTTGCGAAAGAAACCAAAATCAACGGAGGCCGAATCTGAAATTTTCTTCCATGATTTCCAGGCTTCCTCTGTGTGATTCGTTTTCCCCGTGAAATTTTTACTTTAGTTCATACCTTGTCAAGAGGCCTATTTTTATGTGGCTAGGGCTACTTCCGTTATGAGACCATAGAGTATATAGAGTCGTAATGTAAATGAGAGAGCTGGCGCCATGTTCTGCTCGACGAGTTCTGAGCCCGGTGTGCGCTGAGCTTCGGTCACCTTTTCGATAAAAGTCGATTCAAAATGGCGGTGTGGAATACGTTGTAGTTCCTATCTTCTCTGTTTACATTTGCCGGGCACTCGTGTATCGCAAACAATCGATCATGTATCGAAAAAGTGACCCGGCGTCACACAGAAGTCTCGGAATGGAGATGTTGCATGTGTGAGGAATTTGTGATTTGACTATTGATTCTTTTGTAAAAGTCCGCGAGAAACACGATGGTGCCATTGGTTTACTCTGAAATCAACTCCCAAGCTCAAAAAATGCTCTCAAGTAGAGACCAAAATGGAGGGGATATCCCACGCTATTCTGAGAGTCCACCTTTACATCAAGACAATCTCTCCATGCAAAGCTAGGGAGCAAATCCGTTGACAAGGCTGCCACTTTATTTGGGGACTCTAAAACTGAAAACACGGCAACCCTGCTAATGTATTTGCTCCCTATCTTCGCATGGAGAGTTTGTCTTGATGTAGAGGTGGACTCTCAGGATAGCGTGGGATATCCCCTCCATTTTGGCCTCAACTTGAGAGCGTTTTTTGAGCTTGGGATTTGATCTCAGAGAGAATCAGTGGCACCATCGTGTTTCTCGCGAACTTTTACAGAAGAATCAATAGTCAAATCGCAAATTTCTCACACATGCGACACCTCCATTCGGGATCAGGAAAATGCTTAAAAGTGGCAACAACTCTCCCAGTTACATCACGACTCTTTGTATCCTATGTGGACCGCGTTAAGCAGAAAGGAACCAAGCCACATCAGCTATTGCCAAATTTAACCAGACAATTTAATTTTTTCCATGAAAACAGTTGTGCGGATTTTCGTGCAAATTTCAGTGAATTTTCTGCACAGTACAAAGCAAATTCCCAGAAATTTTCAAAGGAATCCGCACAAACCTTCTCTTGTAAAAAATTAAATTGCCTCGTTAAATTTGGCAATAGCTGATGTGGCTTGGTTCCTTTCTGTTAAACTCGGTCCATGTATGAGGCAGAGCATAGCACCAACCCTTACTGTTCCAGGTGATAACGAACCTGCACCACATAACGAACCACTCGCCGCGGCACGGGCAGAGGCAGGAGCAGGACGCCGGGCGGGTGCCGACGCAAACTCGAGACACGGCGACCGAGAAGCCGGCCTCGCGGAAGAGGCTCCTGGAGAAGCTCCCGACGGTGCGGCGGGGGACGGTGGCCCGGCGTCACGGACACCGGGAATGCGCCAAACTCCCGGCCACGGCTCCGACGATGAAGAACGGGCAGCGGAAGCACACGCTCCCGAGGATCGCCCGCAAGCGCCCCGAGCCCCAGTCCGAGAGCGACGACGTGAACAACAACCTCTACGCCGTCGGCATGAGCCTCAAGTCCCTCAAGATCGTCACCAAGGACCAGATCGTCCTTCCGCCCAGCTACGAGTTCGCCAACCACCTCACCGTCCCCGAGATACTCCAGAACTAAGCCTGCGCGCTCTCTAGATTTCTGGCTCATTTCAAAAACAGCGTATGGTCAATTTCAGGCCAAAGTATCACAAGCGCCATGTATGCGCCCAATACGTACCTGCGTCCAGGAAACGACGATTTGTTAGCTATGCCCGCTCGACGATTACAAAATTTCAGAAATCGGCCCGTAGGTCACTCGGGAACTCTATGAGCGCTAATGGAGATGTTGCATGTGTGAGGAATTTGCGATTTGACTGTTGATTCATATGTAAAAGTTCATGACTCATATGTAAAGTCAGAAACACGATGGCGGCACTGGTTTTCTCTGAAATCAACTTCCAAGCTCAAAAAAAGCTCTCAAGTTGAGGCCAAAATGGCGGGGATATTTCACCCTACCCTGAGAGTCCACCTCTACATCAAGACAAACTCTCCATGCAATGATAGGGAGCAAATACATTGACAGGGCTGCCACTTCATTTGGGGACTCTAAAACTGAAAACATGCGGCATCACTGCTATAATGTATTTGTTCCCTATCTTTGCATGGAGAGTTTGATGTAGAGGTGGACTCTCAGGATAGCGTGAGATATCCCCTCCATTTTGGCCTCAACTTGAGAGCTTTTTTTGAGCTCGGGAGTTAATTTTAGAGAAAACCAGAGGCACCATCGTGTTTCTCGCGAACTGTTACACAAAAATCAACAGTCAAATCGCAAATTCCTCACACATGCAACATCTCCATTCTGAACAGATGTGAAATGGCGTAGTGTGATTGATCGGCTATGTCTTATCGCTGCTTTGTTGTGTCAATGTCGGGTGGGATTGACGACATGCCGCCCGGAACTCCAGAAGTGCGCCTTTATTGGCTTGTCGTCAATTTCACTCAACACAGGTACCACAAAGCAACGATAAGACATAGCCGACCAATCACACTATGTCATTTCACATTTGTCAGTTGAATTACAGAACGTCTCGTGTCTATGAGTTCGGAGTCGGGCGGACGAGGGTTAGCCCAGGATAAAATTTTGGAGAATCAAAATCGTTATCTCTGGGATCAACTCCCAAGCTCATAGAATGCTTTAAAGTTGAAGGTGTACCAATATTTTAAAAGAGGGTCTTCCTCTCAATGGAGTAAAAATTCTTCTTCTGGAGCCTGGTTGAATATATAGAGGCAGTGTTGCCACACTGTGAGATCAAGTTCTCCAAGTTTTACGGTAGTGGATTCTAGTCCCCCCCCCCCACTTTCATTTTCGTGACAGACCTGCTAGTATGTTAAGCCCCATTCTGCATGGAGCATAGCACTCCCGTGACTGGGAGAGCTTTCTTGAGCTTAAAAGCTGATTAAATTAGAGAAGAAAAAAGTCACCACCTATCGAAGTTTCAAGTAGGAATAGATTACCACATCGTATAATCCCACCGCATGCCAAAACTCCACTGTGTTTTGATTACTGTGGTAGAGTTGGAGGAAGGGGGATGAGAGAGATCTCGGATCATCGCCTCATCAGTGGCGTGGCGTGCTTTGCGATACATCGATTGATCTGCCATTCAAAATAATGGGAAAGGATCGATAAACAGTGTGTTTACACCGAACACCTTAATAATCGATTCTTTACCACAGATTCAATTGGGGAAATATCGATAATCGACCATTCATGCCACGTCATTGCTCCTCATTTTGCGTCAGAAATGATGAGAAGGTAGAGAAGGGAGGGAAAAAGTGTAGAACCCTAATTTTTGGACAAAAAATCTCGTTCATTCCCTCACGGGTGAATGGATGTACCCTTTGTTTGAATGCGGGAACAAAAATTACTCGTAATGACAATGGTAAACCCTCAATAATCTGGAACAAGGTGGCCCGCATCTGACTGAATCAGACTGTTTCTTGAGACAAACCTTTTTTGACATCAGTTTTACATAACACTGCCATTGTTTTCGTATTAAGAAAATATGACGTTTGCGACATGCAGCATTTTTAAATAAGCAATTACCATGTACAATATATATTTAAATGAACTTAAAGATTACAAACTAAATGCTGCCGAATTTCAACAATTTTACCTATTTTTTTTTTAAACTAGTGAGCAATCAAAAGATAAGGCAAATATGGGACAAACGAGGACGATCATCAATTATCTGTACCGTCCCATTTTGCCTAAACATTGTAAAGTAAATGTAAAGATTTATCGATGTAAATTATATTATCGTTTAATACTGTTTATTTCGTCTCATTATTGTTCATTCCATAATCAGCCTGAGATGAAGGCGAAAACTACAGTGGTTAGCTTAAGAAACCAATGACAACGTCTTGGAAATTAAGAAAAAAAGGTCAACCATCTGAATATCAAACATCTTTTAGGAGCCATCTACTATTTTTTAGGAGCCTTAAATTTTTGCATACGGACCACGGCGATGCTGCGAACGGTGCGTATAGAGAGCGCTTCGTCGCTATACCGCTGCTTCCCGATTGCGAGTTCAATCTGCCAAATTTTTTAGGCGCCACGATGGCCCAGCCCCCTCAATTTTTAGGCGCCAAGACTCGATTTTTAGGCGCATTTGGCGCATGGGGCCGGGGAAGGCAGAACACAGGATTTCGGTCTATGGTAGGAAATTGCCGACGCACTCTTTTTTTTCAAAATTTTTTCGAATTAAATCGCGTTGATACCGATTTATTCCCTCCATAAAGGTCAGTAGTTCATTCACGTGTCGGCTTCTGAAGCACTTTATCAATTTTAACAAACGCCTTTTTATCATCTTTTCGCCGCGTATCAACAAGTGTCTGCCCCCGACATTGATTTCGGAAGCATCCATGATCTTGTCAATCATGTTCACCGGTTTGCAATAAGTTTTAAAGATAAGAAGTGAATGAACACTCAATCAATTTTGTGTCAAAACAAATTTTTTCTATGTTTATTTCATTAGATTTCTTCCTCTTTACCCCTCGCTTCTTACTTGAAGAGAGCTACCGTTATTTTTTTAACTATTTTCTATCACTTTATCGCATTCTTGGACCCTCATCAATAGATAGTTTTCTGATTACTGCAGTATGCCCCTCACAGTATCTTCCCATTTGCGGTTGACAGTTATCTATTCTAGTGTTTAGTTTTTTATTTAAGAGTGTTCATGTGCTTCCAACTTGGGAGGTTTTGATGACTGTGATTTTAACTTCAGTATGAACGCAGAATACGCGCAAGTGGAAACAAAATCTGAGGTATTGAAAATTATTTTCCGATCTATATTTCTCCTTACTTTTGTTTCGAAGATTATTCGTAATAAATCATCAAGAATAATCTACTGTTCCTGGTAAAAGTTACACGAGAAAATATAATAGTTTTAATAGTTCGGTAGTATTAATAGTTTTAATAACGACATTTTATTCCACTTTTTTTTAATTGTATTTTAATTCGGAGTACGGTTCCGGAGTTTGATATTTCGTTTGGAATTGTTATGAATCAAAATGGAGAATTTGAAGGTGTCTGAAATTGTGTAAATTTCATGTTTAAAATGGAGCTAATAAGAGCACTGAGCACGAGAATACCTTTGATTTCTGTATGGAACAATTATTTGAGGAAAATTGATAAAATAACCTAATCTGCAAAAAAATCATGTCAACATCAACGGATGACATCATAGGGCCGCACATTTGTTCACTTTAAAAGTATTTTTCTACAATTTCTCCATGTCGGTAAAAAACTATAAAAAATACTGCGTACTCAGCTCACTAAGCACTCTCAGATAACGCAATAAGATTTTTTGTGTGCAAATTCTCCGTTACATATGTTATTTTATCAGAAAAGGGAGTAAGTATTTCCTTATTTGAAAAATCAAAGTTTAGGCAGTAATGCATGAGGCAAGTACATGCAGCAAAATTAAGTTTTTTATGCGTTTTAATGTGAATATTTCAAAATATCTTCAGTGAATAAGTTGCATGCCCATCGTAACTAATGCAATCCAGCAAAAAACCGCCAAATCCGCCATACGTAATTTTCAACTAAAGCCATCGTTAAACCTTATTTCAGTATCAACTAACTTATTCTATCTCCTTCGAATTTCGGCAGAAACAACTCCGTTATCCAAAATCAGTATTTTTCATCATTGGGAATGAATTCTGTGAGAGATACTCAGCATACACAGTGGGAGGTAAGTAATCACTCACTCACATGTTTCACGAGATACTCAGACAATAATGGGTCAGTTGCGCTGCTGCTGGTCACAGAATCGTGTTTTGATGCTAAACTCTTGCAGATCAGCTGAAAATAATGAGATCCGTTCAAACAGCAACTTTCTACGATCATCATTAACCGGAATATCGTGCTTTGAAAAATTCGGTTTATGACGTCATCCATCGAGGTTATACATCCCCTGCCTGATTTCTTTCAACTTGTAACCATCAACCCGTGATACACTCATTTGCACTGGTGGCTCAACATAAAACTCGGATGAAAGCAAGGTGGAAGAAACCAAGGGTGTCATTGTCACTGTGGACGACGTCATAAATCGAATTTATCGAAGCGCCGCCCTCGGACAATTTACCACCGTGCTAGGGAAGAACGCTGTAAGAGCCTTCAGACGTTCCCAGATTTCCTTGAATAAAAAACTAGGACACTAAGAAAGCTCTGAATATTTTAACTAAGAATTTTCAGGAAATTTTGTTCGCAATTTGATAAAAAAAATATCTGAAAATTTCATGAAAGTATATGAATAATTTTCCTCAAACATACATGTTTTATCCGGGAAAATTTGGCAACTCTTGAATGTTCATACGGCGTTTCTCCTTAACACACCGGAATACGTGAACCCATTTGCAGATATCGTCCACTTAGATCCGCCTTCAATGTCACCACATAGGCAACATACATGTCGGAGAGCGCGAATAGTTATCTATACGAAAAATACACATTTGTATCGATCCATTACACCCATTTTTCGACTTTAGCCGTCAATAAAAATTTTTAGCTGTTAGCCATCGTTTAATGCGGGTGTCGATTTGATTCATTTCGAATTGAACGATTGATTTGGTGTCATTAAATTTGTTCACAGCAATTCTGGTCTTGTACCTTCGGGACGCTTCACAATACACAGAAGATGAGGCCAAGCTCATTTACCATGCTCTCCTCTTTTTTTGTTACTTTTTTCCGATTTTCGGTGCCATCTTGGCAGATTCTTACATCGGAAAATTCAAGTAAGCTATCTCAACTGATGTTCTTCCATTTGACTACATTTATAGCTAAAGAGGAAATGAATTTCAGCTCTCAGGATAAAAAACGGGATAATGTATAAGAAATGCTCCCCACATATTCCAAATTTGATATTTTGAAAAAATCTGCAGCCTATCATTATTGGAATGTATAGATAAAGCGATAGATAAGGGGGGAAAAGGGAAGATGGAGCGATCCTATTGGCTGAGATGAGTGCGGCTAATACAGAATATTTCGAGAAAAATGATGATTCATCTGTTTAATAAAGTGTAGCTTTTAAAAATCTATATTGTTTCTAGGAGGTTCATGATTTTCATTAAATGAGAAAAATTGATTTCAGGACTCTCCTTTACGTGTCTGCAGTTCACGCTGTGGGTAACATAACAATTGCGTTGTCGGCGATTGGATGGCTTTTTAATCCTAGGTACGTAACCAATCAGATAACTCTACCGGAAAAAAAAGTTTGAGGGGTTATCCCCTAAAATTGTGGTAGGTACTACCCCAATTTGTTGGATGATATGAACATTTCTGGTTAATTTTGGTAGTATCGCAACTCAAGTTGGGGTAGTACTGCGACTTTGGGTTAGTAACCTAATTTATTGGGGTACTACCACAATTAATCGGGGTATTACCACAATTAATTGGAGTATTACCACAATTAATTGGAAATGTCCATATCATCCAACAGTTAGGACTTAACCCCTGCTTCTTTTTTTTCCGTGCTAAAATTATCTCTTCGCATTTTGTCTGCTCGATTCAAGAGTAATCTCTGTTCCATGGCTAACTCAATGATATTTTTGATCAAGGGGGGCAAATGAGGGGGGCGAGCGCAATTCGTCGTCCCTCCGACGTAAGGGCGTATCTCTATTTCCACAAGAGCTCCGGAAAGAATGGAGATATATGGACAAGATGGCTCACGTGGAAATGGATATACGTCCTTACGTCAAAGGAACGACGAGTTGTCAGATTGTGCGATAAAATATGGATACCGTATGTACAGTAGACTCTGGATTATCCGCATTAATTGGTGCCGGGCCCGATCAGGATGAAAAAGAAATCCGGATAATAATAGTAAACACAAACACCTTATTATGTATACATCATGTACATACCAACACGAATTTAAAAGGTTAACGCCAAACTGAACGACTCAATGGTGATTGTGAATGCCGACAACGATAAATTACAATACAACGATTAAAGCGCGCAATGCGTGGAGTATTCATGCAGTCTTGTAGCCGCTAATGTGCGTTTTAGGCTAGCTAACCGACTGCACTGCGTTTGGTTTAATGCGAGAAGTATTCATGAAATCTAGTAGGCGCTAATGCGTTCCACGCCGACCTCACTGTTTGGCGCAATGCGTGAAGTATTCCTTCAGCCTTGCAGGCGCCAATATGCCTTGCGACCGCTTCTCCGCGGATCCGCTCACTTATCGGAATGCGTACGTAGTTACATGGTTGCAAAATCGATCCGGATAATCCAGAGTCCGGATAATACGAAGCCGGATAATCCAGAGTCTACTGTATATGGGGTTGAATGGGGGAATTTTTTAGCACCATGATCTGGCAATTGGATTACCCTGTATAGACGTCCTGTAACACTCTCCTCTTTTTACAGAGTGCTATGCCTGACCGGGTTGTTTCTGATGGCCGCCGGGGACGGTGGTATAAAGCCGTGCGTGGCTGCATTCGGAGGCGATCAGTTCGTGCTGCCGCAGCAAGCGCGGGAACTCAAGCGATTTTTCTCGATTTTCTACTTCACCAATCATGTTGGCTCCATTTCCACAGCCCCCCCACAATCGAATCCTAAATAAAAAATTATATCATAATTTTGTGCTAATTTTGTGCTATTTTGTGCCGCAAATTAAAAATTTTGTGCTGCAAAATTAAGGGGGGGAACGCTCCTCAAAATTGGGGGGGGGCTGTAGAAACGGTAGCCCCCCCACTTTCGAATTTTCGAAAAAAAAGAATGCCATAATTTTGCGCTAATTTTGTGCTATTTTGTGCCGCAAGAAAAAAATTTTGTGCCGCAAAATTAAGGGGGTAGCAGCATTTCAAATTGGGGGGGCTGTAGAAATGTTTGCCCCCTGTTTTGATTTCTCGGAAAAGGAGTATGCCATAATTTTGTGCTAATTTTGTGCTATTTTGTGCCGCAGCGAAACATTCAAGTTTTTCAAATTTAAGGGGGGTAATGGGCACATCAAATTTTGGGGGGGCTGTAGAAATGTTAGCCCCCCTTTTTGATTTCTTTGAAATGGAGTATGCCGTAAGTGTTTGCGAATTTTGTGCTATTTTGTGCCGTAGCGAAACATTCAATTTTTTCAAATTTAAGGGGGGTAACGGGCACATCAAATTTTGGGGGGGCTGTGGAAATGTTTGCCCCCCTTTTTGATTTCTTGAAAAAAAAGTATGCCGTAATACTCTCATAATTTTGTGCTATTTTGTGCCGCAAAAAGAAAATTTTGTGCTTCAAAATTAGGGGGCTTAAATACCACCCCAAATTAAGGGGGAGGGTCGCAGGTGCGGCAGCCCCCCACTTTCGAACTTCGAGAAAAAAAGCACGTCATAATTTTGTGCTAATTTTGTGCTATTTTGTGCCGCAAAAAGAAAATTTTGTGCTCCAAAATTAGGGGGGTTAAATACCATTTCAAATTGGGGGGGGCTGTAGAGACGATAGCCCCCCACTTTCGAATTTCGAGAAAAAAAGCACGTCATAATTTTGTGCTAATTTTGTGCTATTTTGTACCGCAAAAAGAAAATTTTGTGCTCCAAAATTAGGGGGTTAAATACCACTTGAAATTGAAGGGGCGGGGACTGTAAAACAAGTTAGCGCTCCGTCGGAACCGGAATCTTCCGCTCCGGAGACGCAGGCTCGCAGGTAGCCGGAACCTTTGGCAGCGCATTGTGGTCACATCTCTCTCCGCTTTGACTTCTGCCCTTGGAAGCGGACGGGAAGGGCCAAGCACCGTGGCAACTCAAGAAAGATCCGGGCGGGAGATCCGGCGCTCTTTGCACGGGATATTTAAACAGAGAAATTTATCCTAATCATTAAGGAGCCTTTTCGGGGGTTATATACCGTTGGGTGTCGGCGAGTTCCAAACCGAATGTTGTTCTACTGTTATTATTTTGCACGCTACCGATTATTATTTACTTAATCGAACAGTTTTGAGAAATAAATTATTGGCTTTCATTTCATAGCAACAACAATTTTGACACGTATCCAGCGAAACATATCATAAAAGAACCATTTTTAAGAAATGTTTCAGAAAATGTGTTATAGTTGATTTCAGGACCTCCAAAATCTAGTTTACATTACCTCACTAGAATGCGCCCTGTGCTCTTTTCCAATTTTTAATAACAAAATAAATTTTTCCACCATTTTTCTTTAGGTGCCGATGTTTGGTTTGAAATAAAGTGCCCACACAATGTACATGTATATTTTTCAATAATGCTTTATTTATTTCAAAAAGCACTCAAGTCTCCGAAATTTCCTTTTTTGGTAACGCTTAGCTCTAGCGTTCTACTGGGCTGATTTTCATGATTTTTGCAGATATCAACAGGATATCAACTGAGCCTGCTTACAGAGCCTCATTTATGAGGCTGGTTTATGGTGTTATGCCATCGGGCGGCTAATTTCGGATTTTTCGTGGGTTTTTTTTTTAGTGGAAGGGGAGTTTATGTTTCAAATTTGCCTTTTACGTATTACAAATCCTCGTTCCTTGAAAAATCATCTCCCCTTCCCTTAAATAATCGTTTGCAACACTTTCCTTCACAAATGCGCAACCTTCTCACTATCGCAGAATCGGATCGCGCTTTTGATATGTTTTCGAAACTTTTATCTCGTGCGCATCGGCATCGCGTGAATAAATAAGATATTAAATTGATCAAGATTAAGATATTATATTATTGACCCGAAAAAAAGCCCTAGCCGGGAAGGAAAAAAATCCCTAGATTTCGCTAAAAATCCTAAATCCCCAGATTTGCTCAGATATCCCCCAAAAAAGCCGTCGATTTTACAAAAATCGCCATTTTCAACGTCGAAATATGACATCGTTCGATGTATCAATTTAATTTTTTGTCACAGTTCGTTTGAGCGTTTCACTGGGTTGATTTCCATGACTTTCCGGCTATCGACAGGCGATAGTCCTCAGATGAGCCCGTTCCATCCAGAGTTTGGCAATATGACCCAGGGTTCTAATAGTTGGGTTGACTGGTGAGCTGGGCAAGGGTAGGGGCAATAAGCAAAATTTGAAGTGCCCTCCGATGAAAAATGACGGGAATTTCAAATTTGGCGGAAAATCGACCAAATTAGAGATATCGATTTTGGTTTTTTTAGTCTCAGTTCGTTTGGATGATCAACCGGGGTGATTCTCATGGCTTTCGCGGCTACTAATGGAAGAGAATCCCTGGAGAGTCCCGCTCTATACTGAGGGCGCGATACGATGATGTCTGGACCTGAGGTTTTTCCAGCACACGCTGACACCAGCGCAACCACATCTCGGCCGATGCCGGTCTCCTTGATTAAACATAACAATAGACCGCTCGGCATTGATGGATCTCAATCCGATGGCCTTCCCTATGGCCTATTGGAGCTCCAAAGAAATTTGATGATATTTTTAAGATTTGCCTTGACTTTAACTCTCTTAGTAAACTTACATTCTGCGGGAAAAGCAGATTACAATGAATTAAATTTTTTTATGATTTGTTTCTATACAACGGAGATGCCGGTCAGCAAGTTGCAAATTCAGCAGAAGAAATATTGGACCGCATTTAGCAAAAAGGAGCCAGCGTGATTACAGTATTTTCATAATGGCGCAACTACTTTTTTTTCTTTTAAAAGTACGAAATATATGTACTGTATGAAAATGTACAGAATTATTTCCCTTCAAAATTAACAAAAATTATTTAGTAGGAAGCCAGAACTATTTGCTATTTTGGGAGATTTTTTTTAGATAATTATGAAAAAAGCAATATTTTAACAACTCTGTAATTGCGCAAGTTCCTGTTTGCTAAATGCGATCCTATTGATCTTGCTATGCCGCAGAATCACGTATTTTCTTTGGTTTGACCACCAATTTGCTCGAAATTTTACCGCGAATTTGAAAATATAGACTAAAAAAACTTCTTTTGAAAAAAATAAAAAATTGCACTCGCGAGCTGCCTAATCCTCGGTTGAAATTTCGAGGGTCAGATTCAGGTAAACGCGAGACAATGGGGCAGCGATGTCGAGCGTGCCGAGTAGCGGTCTAGAGGATTGCCGTGTTGCCAATTAAGAGATTATGGTATTTATTACTCATCCGATTTCCTAGACATCATAGCGCGCAGGGGCGGACTGGGACGAAAAAAGTTACCGGGAAATGTACAGCCAAACCGGTCCACAACTCAAATGGGGGTGGGGGGGGGACACCGTCCAGAGAAGGGGGGTCCGGGGGCCCTCCCCCGGAAAATTTTGAAAAATAAGCACCTCACGAAGGCATTTTTAAGCACGTACTTACGCAATTAGAGTGATAAAATATTTTTAAAGTTGGCTGCGACCATGGAGCATAAAACGGCCATATGGAACAGTGAAGGCCCGTGGAGCCTCACCCTATTTTATGAGAAAGTGACCAGTTCTGTACGATTTTATCCCATTTCTTCACATATTTCTAGACTATGGAGATAAAGATAGAAAGAAAAGAAAGACAAATAAAAAGAAAACAACGCAGTAAACCGACCGGCCCAAAATACCAACCGGCCCACCGGGATTTTTCCCGGTATTCCCGCCTGCCAGTCCGCCCCTGATAGCGCGCCCCCGGTATACTTAAATTCGTCGCCTACCTGACATAAGGGCGTAACTACACTCTGCAATGAGCCCTGTCTTCCATATATTTCAATGCTCTTCCGGACTCATCTCAATGTGTAGTTACGCCTTTATGTCAGCCAAGCGACGAATTGAGCAACAAAGGCCTGCGAAGCGGGCCCTTTGGGGGTTGGACTGCATAGCGGCCAGTAATTAAAAATGGCCCATCATGAAGAACAAAAGCAATAGCACTTCTGGTTCCGTAGTCGACAAGCAAGGGTATATAGGGTGTTGCAAAAGACGATGCAAAAATTTTCAGGTTGCCGGGGTCGCTCCTAAATGGAACAGAATACGAGGTCTGTTAGATTAGAAACCGGATTTTGGTCATAACTAGCCCACAATGCGTCCAAATTACGTTTTCTTGAGCTTTTCTGATAGCTGAAAATATATTTAAGAACGCTACGTTCACAAATTTGAAAAATCCTAATTAGCTTCGTTGGTATGGGGCTTGAAGTAAGGCAACCCCAAGGGTGTTTTGCGATTTTTATGTTTGACCGAACTTTTCTCTCTTTTTTCGGTCTTGCACTACATTTTTCTACCCACAAGGACGATTGGAGTTTCGTCTCCATATCGTAGCCGTACACTAAAGTATTGTCACCAAAAATTATCAAATCCAAAAATGTAGGATCATTGTTAGAACGTTCAAGCAGCTACAGGGAAATTGACATTTTGTTGGATTTTCGTTCAATGGAAAACAATCAAGGGGCGAGTGTACCTGAAACTCGATGCGTGTATACATATTCTATCAAAATTGTATGTACAGAGTCTTCAGAAATATTACTCTGTTCAACAAGCTCGAAACGACCATTTTCGAGCACTTTTGCCCGCACTTCTTCCACGTGACAAATGTCAGGTGCCGTTGAGGGTCGATTCCCATGCTCCTCATCTTTGACGAACTCCTGACCAGTTTTGAATCGTTTAACCCATTCAAAACAGTGAGAACATCCATACAATGATCATGGTAAACTTTACTTAGCATATACCAAAAGTTTCGGTACAAGGTATACCGAGTTTAAAACAAAATTTAATGTTGAATCTTTGCTCTATCAGTGATCGCATGATGAAAATCGCAAAACGCACCTGACTTACTCGTATTCAAGATGACACAGAATAAACACTGATCAAAATAAACAAAATCTGTGAACGTAGCGTTCTTAAGTATATTTCCAGCTATCAGGAAAGCTCAAGAAAACCTAATTCGAACGCATTGTGGGCTAGTTATGACCAAAATCCGGTTTCTAATCTAACAGACCTCGTAT